TTATAGCCGTGGCCCCTGGTGTTGGTTCTTGTTTCAAATTCTAGTAATCCTTCTGGGACCTTGTATAAGCCATGAGTAAACTTGTATACTTCAATGAGTTCCCCACGCAGACGTCGATAACTGAGGCTTGGAAGCTTCATAATCTTTAATCTTTCCTCATAGGACTTGCCTTTCAAGCCCGGAACTATCCTTGTTGCGCGTCTTTGAACACTCTCTACTAAATTTTTGTCCTTTTCAAATTTCGGTGACCACACGACGTTTCCAAACTCCAGGTTCGGGCGCACGACAGCAACAAACAACTGCTTCATCGTTCCTGCATCTAGGAACTCGAAAGAGCGTCTGACCAGTCCAAGTCGTTTATTGGCTTTATTAACTTGACCTTCAATATGCTTAGAAAAATTCAACTCATAGTCGATATTACTCATTACTACTTCAATTCATTGTTTTCTCATACTGTAACCTTGCTGTTCATTATTCTTGCCAAGGTGGATTACTTTACATTTGTCAGCGTTAAAACGCAGCTGCCACTTATCAGCCCAGTCAACCAGCCTGTCAAGATCAACTTGTAACTGTACTATTTGCGACGTATTCTTCACTGTATTATAAATTTTTGTGTCGTCAGCATACATCGAGCACACGCTAGACTCAGCTTCTGGCAGATCGTTTATAAACGCAACGAATAGAATAGGCACGAGAACGCTTCCTTGTGGCACGCCGCTGCGCACTGGAGCCCAGTCTGACACGGACCCATTAATACTGACACGTTGGCGTCTCCCCACTATAAAATCTCTGATCCATTTGAGTACATTGCTGCCAATTCCCAAAGACTGCAATTTCCGCAACAGCCGCTCATGTGGGACACTGTCAAATGCCTTAGCAAAATCGAGGTACACTGCATCTACTGGCTCCCTTTCATCCAGCAGGCGGGTCCATTCGTTCAGCGTAGACAAGAGGTTAGTGGTGCAGGATCTCCCGGCAGTAAAGCCATGTTGACAGTCTGATAGGAGATTATTAGCAGTCAGATGATCTATCAATCGATCCCTCACAACAGATTCCATTACCTTGCAAACGACACTTGTCAAACTGACAGGGCAATAGTTGCTCGGGCAGCTTTTGTCACCTTTTTTGAATAATGGTGTCACTTGAGCTTCTTTCTAGTCAGCCAGCAAAATTCCTTCGTTCAAAGTTTTTCGAAAAAATGACTTCAAGGGCCGGCTAGGACAGTTGCTAACTCTTTGAGTAATCTGGGGTGGAAGCCGTCTGGTCCACATGACTTGTTTGGATTTACAGCGATAAGGCGCTTGAGAACCTCTTCTTCTTGTATTTCAAAACTTGTTAACTTAGAGCCGACTGAGCGTTCCTCAATAGCTGGAATACTGTTCAAGTCCTCTTCAGTGAATACGCTACTGAAAAACTGATTAAGAACGTTAGCCTTGCCCTCATCAGTGGATATCTTTCGTTGATCTACTTTCAAATCAGAAATACCGTCCTTCATCTTGCACTTCGAGCTAGCGTACAAAAAGAAGGCTTTCAGGTTATTTTTTTGCATTTTTAGCAATGTTTTTTTCGAGGGTATTTACTGCGGTGCGACAGCTTTCTTTAGCTTGATTTCGAGCTCTTGCGTATAGGTTATAGTCAGCAACGCTACGAGTCTGTAAATAACGCTGGTATGCTTCCTTCTTTGTTTTCAGCTTAGCTAAAACTGTTCTGTTCATCCACAGAGTTTTTTTGCTCCACCAAGCTAAATTTTAGGTACACACGCATCAACTGCAGACATAACTGTGTCCTTGAGAAATGACCATGCCTCATCCCTTGGAAAGGATCCATCGATCCAGTCTAGCTTTGGATGAGTAAAATCACAAACGATCAACGTGTGAGACCAACGGAAAGTCATGCTCAGTAGAAGACTGTTTAGTACTTTATCGTTATCAGAAGAACTGTTTGGTGATCTACACACGACTCTTATGAGGAGGCTATATTTGCCTTTGAGAGAAAGTTCGCACCACACTGATTCTCTAGCTGATTATATTATATATCTCGCCTAAATGGTTCAATATATCTCGCCTAGGCGCGCAAAAGCTCCTAAAAATACAAATAGCTTGTACGTATTTGCATGCCGCGCGTTCATCAGCGTTTCTCAGGATAGTCTCATCGACTTCAAGAATTATTATACTGTTTAATTTCAGAACATTACATGAGGCAGACGTAGCAGAGGTCCGTCACATATCATTATACATTTCTCCAGGAAGCAAATAAAGAACACCGAATATTAGAAAAAGAAGTCTTTATTCATTCATGTTAAATTCAACAATGAACTCGAGCAACTGATAAGCTTAAGAAGTGCCATATCGGTCGCTACAGCAAAATTCAGAGTAAAGTTTCGTTTCATTGACACTGAAGAGAGTGTTCTCGAGGATCTCCGATACCATTTTGATGAGCAAGTCTAGCGTTTCACAATTATTAATCCGATAAATAATAGTAAAAATTATATAGTGGTTACGAGTCTCGATGAATTTGTGTTTAAATGTGTAGTGATTGAATTTCGTAATCACCAACGAAATATATCTTTGAATAAATCATTTCAATACCGAATGCGTACAATGTAAAGTACAAGAGAGAATTATTCTTCGTTTTTTTTTTATGCTGCGCTTGGTCAATCCTTCATAGCGTGAGACGGTCAGAGAACATGCCCTGTATTTATTAAACAATTATTCAGAATGTTTCAGAACAATTCAGAAACAATTATTCAACACAACACATTGTGGTGCTACACAACACATTGTGGTGCTACACAACACATTGTGGTGCTACACAACACATTGTGGTGGTACACAACACATTGTGGTGCTACACAACACATTGTGGTGGTACACAACACATGCCAACGACATTGCGCTCGAGTTCGACAACATCAAAAAATTCTACAATATGTACGCCTGTGTTGCGTTGTCAAAAAAATGCTTGAACACATTCACAAATATATGATTGTAAGAACGCTTTGGGATGCTGGTCGTACGAGACGAGGGTGTCTTCTGCACCAAGATAAATAATAGTTGAACCAAGATAAATAATAGTTACGGAGTACGCCACTAGCCACGTTCAGGTTGACATGTGGAGAATGTTATTGTAGCCACGAATGGTCAACTGGCAGCAATCTTAAATGGGCATGTAACTTGTGGATTGAAATTACAACATTGAAATAAGGCTAAGGAATTTCCCAAGCAGTCACAATTGCGAAATAAATCGTACAATAGCTGGTCTCGTGTGAGCGCCTGAGAAAGATTCATCACTGAGCTGGTAACACAAAAGATACGAGGAAAAAGAATAGGTTAATGGACTGCAATAATATTTAAACTTTTCGAAACTAAACTGCGACAAGGTACATACAAACAACAGACAAGGCACGAGAAATAAATAACGACATTATCTGCTCAGTATTACGAACAATTCTTAGAATGAGAACAATACAATGCAGTGTTTATGTCAGTTGGAGGTCCTGTGAAATGTGGAAAAAGTTGAAACTTTTGAAAGCAAATTTTGAGCTACTCCATCTTTTCGTACATATGAATATCATTCACAAATAAACATAGACAAAAATAAGACTGCAAGATTGCAACGTTATAAATTAAGTAAAACAATGAAATACACAAAACAGCTCAATTATCAATGTCTTACTAAGAATAGCTTTCATTGTTGCCATTCTTACCAATGAAGGGAGTGACAACACTGAGATTCATAACATCTGGCATTTCCCTGTTGAGCCTTCGCTACCCAGAGCGACTGTCGTGCATTTTTAGAGCATTTGTCAGTAAATTGGATAAGAATTGGATGTTTGTCAGTAAATTGGATAAGAATTGGATTAGAACGTTACGGTATTGGATAAAATTAATGCAAGACATCAGTGGTGACTTTTAATTTGACTTCGGAACAGTTTGCTCTCTATAATGAGGATACACCCGAGACTAATTCCAAATGAAACAGCGATAACTCTTTTATACACGCGTTTTCAAATTATTTGAGACTTTGAAACAAAGTTATGTCATACCGAGGCAACTTAACATAGAAATTATGTGATCATTGCATCAAATTATCATTAAAAACTTGAGATTCACAGATGGTTGAGAGAAAATTCCCTGTTTTCGAGCACGTCTCAATGGACACCACAACCGTGAAAAGACAATATGCATACAGGCAAACAATGAATGGTACATAAAGAGAGAAAATTCGTGAATGCTTTGGAGATCGAATAGGACAATGAGTCCTAACAAGAAGCGAGGCAATAATCTGTACATGATAAATGATATGACAGTGAAAGAATCAACAGAAATAAGGCAAGCGTTAGGATCAATATGTTACGAGGTCGATACGATCCTCGCTTAAACGTATAGTTCAATAGCCGCTACTTTCCATCCCGTAGTAATTGTAGAGCAAGCCAACTACAGCAACACTTCTATAGCGAGCTCATTTAATTACTCATAGCAATATATATACAAAAGCTTCCAAACAATAATGAAATATCTGAGATAAAGTAAAAGGTTAAGAATGATTTCAAAAACTGAGTTCAGTAACAGCTTCAACGTACTCACTACCAGAGACTACGTAACAAATTTTTGGCATTCACAGTTGTAATGAATTTAATTATTACAGCATTTCTGAGAGGGCTATCCATAGATTTTAATTTTCTTTTATCTGTATTTACTTTCATTAAATACCACTGGGATTAGGGCAGAATGAGGCCAAATAATCGAATGTTAAATAATCGGAGGGATATGTTCCCACTGTGAAGATTGCATGTGCCATACTTTCAAAATTCGCTAAGTGAACGTAAGTACTTACGCTCCATTTTCTTGTCTATGATTAAGTGAACGTAAGTACTTACGCTCTATTTTCTTGTCTATGATTAAGTGAACGTAAGTACTTACGCTCTATTTTCTTGTCTATGATTGGCGGATTTTGCTTGAAAGGCCGTCAATGATCGGCTGATGAACTTACGATCTCTTAACTTTTTTTGAAAGTATAGGACCTGGTGCGGCCTGAACTATTGAGACGTGAAGGAGCGCGAACACGAAGAGCAATAATTAAGTACACAAACGAGGACAATATTCATGCAGAACATTCAAGCAACACACAGCCCTCATGCAGAACATTCAAGCAACACACTGCCCTCATGCAGAACATTCAAGCAACACACTGCCCTCATGCAGAACATTCAGGCAACACACAATCCTCATGCAGAACATTCAAGCAACACACAATCATCATGCAGAACATTCAGGCAACACACAACCCTCATGCAGAACATTCAAGCAACACAGATTGTTCTACCCGCGACACATTCACCCGATTTTAATGCATTCAGCAGATACACAAGCTAGGAACCTAAACGTGAAACGAATTAAATTTTCATTAAAAAGAAAGAAAATTCTTATTAGAAATAAACACACGGCTACCGCACAAGACATAGGTTTTTGCTAGTGTTATCCAAATAATGCTAAGACTATCAACCAAATGATTCACAGCAATGTTCTATTAAACGCAAAACCGACAATCCTTCTATCGAAGTTTCACTATAAGTTGTCATAGAAATACTGTCCTATTATTCGACGACTGAGAAAACTCCTAAAGTTAACAAAATCTCAAAGCTCGTCATCGTTAATTTGCTCCAGCTATTCAACTGATAAAACACTAGTTTCAAGACACTAGCTTACTCCCATCATGGCATGCCAATTAAAATGTGTATAGAAAGTTAAGAGACAGAAAGGTTATCTACATTAACCTGGCCTACACTTGCAACCATACAAAACACCTATGAACTGAGAGAGATGGGAGCTAAGGTAAATTAACTTTATTTAAGGTCAAGTTACGAGTCACTTTAAAGAACCTAGTGTAATTTGGCGTATAAATCGTCCAATTGTGGCTTGAAGTATTTCCCCATACAAAACACCTATGAACTGAGAGATGGGAGCTAAGGTAATTAACTTTATTTAAGGTCAAGTTACGAGTCACTATAAAGAACCTAGTGTAATTTGGCGTATAAATCATCCAATTGTGGCTTGAAGTATTTCCTGAGCTGCGGGCGCTTAGACTTGAGGGTGGGCGTTAGCAAGCCGTTCTGTACGCTGAACGGGTCGGGGTGCAGGTAGACGTCCTTTACCTGGGATGAAGTCTCGTTATTGTAATTAAACAGGGAACGGGTCGGGGTGCAGGCTGTCTCTTATACACATCTAGATGTGTATAAGAGACAGGCGTAATAGNTGTAATGGGCCTATATGTAATGGGCCTATATGTAATGGGCCTATATGTAATGGGCCTATATGTAATGGGCCTATATGTAATGGGCCTATATGTAATGGGCCTATATGTAATGGGCCTATATGTAATGGGCCTATATGTAATGGGCCTATATGTAATGGGCCTATATGTAATGGGCCTATATGTAATGGGCCTATATGTAATGGGCCTATATGTAATGGGCCTATATGTAATGGGCCTATATGTAATGGGCCTATATGTAATGGGCCTATATGTAATGGGCCTATATGTAATGGGCCTATATGTAATGGGCCTATATGTAATGGGCCTATATGTAATGGGCCTATATGTAATGGGCCTATATGTAATGGGCCTATATGTAATGGGCCTATATGTAATGGGCCTATATGTAATGGGCCTATATGTAATGGGCCTATATGTAATGGGCCTATATGTAATGGGCCTATATGTAATGGGCCTATATGTAATGGGCCTATATGTAATGGGCCTATATGTAATGGGTCTATACACACGCCTTCACCGCGTCAACTTCTGGCACCACCACGGCCACCACCGTCGACTGTCAACAGTTGCCGTTATTTGTTGATGCAATCAGTAATGAAGCTACAGCAATGTCCGTTATTTGTCACTGCAATCATATATTCATTTTTTACTTGCGTAAGTAACCCAAACGTCCACACGATTACGGAAAATAAAGTAGAGTTAGATAAGAAAATTTGGAGAGTTAATTAATAAGCGTTAGATAATATTGCCACTGATGACGACTTTATAATGTTCGTGTTCTAGCAGAGCTGAAAGTAGTGTGATCTGGGAACGCTAGGCAACAGGGAACACATTATTTATGAAATAAAATATATTTTACACGCAATAACACTTTACCTAAATAGATACAGATTTATTTGATTATATGAATTCGCTATTTGGTTTTGGTCGGCCATTTATTCACGAACAGAAACAAAAGAATAGACAAGAATCGAAGACTTTTGCTTAGCCAGCAACGAAGCTTGATCTGCATACGACATTTATAAATTGGAAAAGTTACTGTAGTCTAGGATAACGGACCATAGAAGAATCTGCCAGAAAATGTTGAAAATTTTGAACCTGATAACCTCTTTGCCAATTTATTGTACTGATGACATTGTTACACAATGGTTAAATAGATATATTTTCTCCAAAAACTTTTGATTTGAGCACCACAAACTGTTTATTTCCTGTGCTATGAGCATGAGATTTGTTATAGGATTGACTTTACTTGCAAGAAGTTATCCAATAACAAGAAACTCAATACTACTTGGAAACTATTTTAAGCAGATACAAGACAGTAAAGGCTAAGAGTACATCATTGCCTAAGATTAATAAGGAGAAAACAAAGAGGAAACACGCGCCTGCGGAGATATAGAGCAACAATCGTTCGAGTCACAAGATCGAAAAATCAAATAAATTTACGCTCAAGCTTTTACTATCAAATTTAAGCTTATACCTTCAAACTTAAGCTTTTACCTTCAAACTTATCACACTTAAGCTTTTTATTTCCAAATTTAGCGTTTACCTTCAAACTTAAGCTTTTACCTTCAAACTCTCGCCGTAGACGAACACTTGTGCCACGTACTGAGAGCGTACGTAAATGTTTTCAATTTTCTCAGGTACGATGTACTCTCCCTGGGACAGCTTAAAGATGTGCTTCTTGCGGTCGATGATCTTGAGCGTGCCGTTCTGGGGACATATACATCAGTTGTCAAGCGAGATATATAGAATTTATATCATTATATGAATATAACCTAAAGAACCTAAATAAATGATGATCTTGAGCGTGCCGTTCTGGGGACATATACATCAGTAGCCACGCGAGATATATAGAATTTATATCATTACATGAATATAACCTAAAGAACCTAAATTAAATGATCTTGAGCGTGCCGTTCTAGAGACAAATACGTCAGTAACCAAGCGAGATATATTGAATTTATATCATTATATGAATATAACCTAAGTTACGTGCATTAAATGAATCTTTTAAGTTTATAATGTGTAAGAGGATCGTTCAAATGCAGCGACGTTATGAAGGAAATATTGAGTTCGACATTCATATCGTAAAACTTAGGAACACTTCTCACTAACTCTTTAGGATATTTAGAAGCAAAGAACGAATTGTAGGATATAAATTATTAGGAGAGAACGCAATAATAACATGACCGACATTCACTTGTAGTCCTAATTATATAACGGCAAAAGTGAAAAATGGCATAAAAAAATATAACTCAGTACTCAGTGCAGTGAGTGACAGAGAGCGCATTTTCTCGTCGACGAAAACGTGAAGTCACAGACGGACAGACAGACAGACGGACATGGCGAGCACAATAGCTCTTTTTTTCCATAAATGAGAAAATGCGCTAATAACAGTGAACTATAACTTGCGCATGTATAATAACGCAAGAGACAGCAAAAGATTACTGGAAAACTTACTGGCAACCATTCGCCGATATCGCCGGTGTGCAGCCAGCCTTGAGCGTCTTTGGTTTGCCGCGTCTTCTCAGGGTCCTTGAAGTAGCCTTGGAAGACACTAGCGCCCTTTATACAGACCTCGCCTTGGTCTGCAACAGGAAAAAGGTTCAACGATTTTATCGTCCACAATAAAATGGAAATAAAACATTTCAGAATCTCGCTAGCTGTGAGAATAACGCACGTTCACGCAAGGAGCAGTTCGTCTGAGGCCAATTGCACAATTATCCATCGTTGATATGCGGTAAAATTGCAGCATATGATTTGGCTCTAATGAATGAGTTATTTAAAATAAGGATCAAATGCATAAGGGTTGCCGTAGGTCCTAAGAATAGGGAACTCCATGCATTCATATCTTCCCAGATAGAAATTGAATGGTTCAGGTTCACAACATTCTTCATGCACTGTATGTACTTATAGACTCAGAACATTTATTTTAAGCCAGAGACGAACTTTTAGACATATGATAGTTACTCATCGTAAGAATAACCCATGCAAAAATCATAATCAAATAGACATTAGTGAAACATCTTACATTAACCCTCAGTCATTAACCCCGTGTGTCACCAAATTTACGTCGCGTTGAGGTTCGGATAGCAAAGACGACAACTGACGTATCCCTAAAGGTTTAGGTTTAGAGATTCATTCGACTACTTTTTCTAGTTGAAAATTACGTTCGCGGCAGCAGACGAGCTATCACTAAGATAGTAAATATATTATGGGTGATTACCAATTGTAACTTCACCCCTCGAACTGAAAATTATAAATTTACTTTGCGAGCATTTATTTAGCTTAATATATGTTGAAATTTAGCTTAATATTTGTTGAAATTTAGCTTAATATATGTTGAAATTTAGCTTAATATATGTTGAAATTTAGCTTAATATATGTTCAAATTTAGCTTAATATATGTTGAAATTTAGCTTAATATATGTTGAAATTTAGCTTAATATATGTTGAAATTTAGCTTAATATATGTTGAAATTTAGCTTAATATATGTTGAAATTTAGCTTAATATATGGTGAGAAAATCACGCATGACGCATGTTGAGCACAACACACTTTGTGCAGCGAAGTAATCCATGTCAGGCACGTCCACGAGCTTGATGGCGTTAGAGGCCAGCGGGGGCCCCACGTGCTCAGGTCTGTACTCACTTTGTGCAGCGAAGTAGTCCATGTCAGGCACGTCCACGAGCTTGATGGCGTTAGAGGCCAGCGGGGGCCCCACGTGCTCAGGTCTGTACTCGCCCTGCACCGTCAACGTCGCTGGCGCCACAGACTCCGTCTGCCCGTAGCCCTCCACCACCTGCCCAGAGAACGTCGTCCAGAAATAACACAAATACAGTCTAAATCACAACGAATTTTATGAAGAAATATCGTATTTTGTGCATATGTGGATTGACCTATAAGTATCTAATACCGTAGGTGAGGAAATCACAAATGTGTTTCACTTCATGATCTTCACATTTTATGCCATAAAAAGTGCAAATATATAGCAAATTTCTAAAGAATAATGTTCCGTTCAGAGCCAAAAGAAATGTCAACGAAATCCATCGAACATAAGCAAGTAGTTCTTACATAGTTATGGAATACATAATTTAATACCACGAACTTCTTAAGCTCGACTGATCGACTAACATAAATTAGTGATTAAAATGTATGTTAGTCGCTCTAAGATCACCGAATCTCGAATTTGATTCGATAGACGCATGATCGTGAGTACACATGAAAAATGTTCATTGGATTTTGTATGAAAATATTTGAGAATTTGAGTTGAATCACATTGCGAACCAACAGAAGTAACAAGAATTCAGAGAAATAAGCAATACAAGAGACCCACTAACAAGAAGTAACTAATTTTTTAAAGTAGCATATTTTTCGCGGGAAAATAAATCGCTAATTTAGTATTATTTGACTCAGGACGCAGTCCAGGGAATAAGCAACTAATTTTTTTTGTAAGGTAGCATATTTTTGGCCGGAAAATAAATCGTTAATTTTGTATTAGTTGACTTTACGGGCAGAAGCAACTAATTTTTTAAATTAGCATATTTTTCGCCGAAAAATAAATCGCTAATTTTGTATTATTTAACTCACAACGCAGCCTAGAGCACATCTGGTGAAGGTGAGCACATTGCCGGCCAGGGGCGCCGACCCCACCACCACCAGCCGCAGTCTGCCCCCCATGCCCTCCTGCACCTTACGGAACACCAGCTTGTCCCATATGCTGTTACGCCGTATGATGCCTCTGTAATGACAAGTTATCATTATGATCAACTTCAGAGCCAGCTTGTCCCATATGCTGTTACGCCGCACGATGCCTCTGTAATGACAAGTTATCATTATGATCAACTTCAGAGCCAGCTTGTCCCATATGCTGTTACGCCGTACGATGCCTCTGTAATGACAAGTTATCATTCATAACCATCAATGAATAACTTCAGAGCAAACCAAACTCGAGATATTCAACGAGAATACAGCCAAACATATATTCAAGTAACTCACTTTCCATTTTATTATACATTTACTGCGAGACAATGTGATAATCTGTCAATGCACGCATTTATGCACTTAATATCATGAAAGCAATAAAATCAATTCTTGATATATCAATGATAATATCTTCTGTAACTTATCGCAATTAGACACGCTACCTCTCAAGTTCCTTCTTTTTACTGGCCAGGGCCATATTGAAGAGGAATTTCTTATTAATTAAGACACGCTACCTCTCTAGTTCCTTCTTTTTACTGGCCAGGGCCATATTGAAGAGGAATTTCTTATTAATTAAGACACGCTACCTCTCTAGTTCCTTCTTTTTACTGGCCAGGGCCATATTGAAGAGGAATTTCTTATTAATTAAGACACGCTACCTCTCTAGTTCCTTCTTTTTACTGGCCAGGGCCATATTGAAGAGGAATTTCTTATTAATTAAGACACGCTACCTCTCTAGTTCCTTCTTTTTACTGGCCAGGGCCATATTGAAGAGGAATTTCTTATTAATTAAGACACGCTACCTCTCTAGTTCCTTCTTTTTACTGGCCAGGGCCATATTGAAGAGGAATTTCTTATTAATTAAGACACGCTACCTCTCTAGTTCCTTCTTTTTACTGGCCAGGGCCATATTGAAGAGGAATTTCTTATTAATTAAGACACGCTACCTCTCTAGTTCCTTCTTTTTACTGGCCAGGGCCATATTGAAGAGGAATTTCTTATTAATTAAGACACGCTACCTCTCTAGTTCCTTCTTTTTACTGGCCAGGGCCATATTGAAGAGGAATTTCTTATTAATTAAGACACGCTACCTCTCTAGTTCCTTCTTTTTACTGGCCAGGGCCATATTGAAGAGGAATTTCTTATTAATTAAGACACGCTACCTCTCTAGTTCCTTCTTTTTACTGGCCAGGGCCATATTGAAGAGGAATTTCTTATTAATTAAGACACGCTACCTCTCTAGTTCCTTCTTTTTACTGGCCAGGGCCATATTGAAGAGGAATTTCTTATTAATTAAGACACGCTACCTCTCTAGTTCCTTCTTTTTACTGGCCAGGGCCATATTGAAGAGGAATTTCTTATTAATTAAGACACGCTACCTCTCTAGTTCCTTCTTTTTACTGGCCAGGGCCATATTGAAGAGGAATTTCTTATTAATTAAGACACGCTACCTCTCTAGTTCCTTCTTTTTACTGGCCAGGGCCATATTGAAGAGGAATTTCTTATTAATTAAGACACGCTACCTCTCTAGTTCCTTCTTTTTACTGGCCAGGGCCATATTGAAGAGGAATTTCTTATTAATTAAGACACGCTACCTCTCTAGTTCCTTCTTTTTACTGGCCAGGGCCATATTGAAGAGGAATTTCTTATTAATTAAGACACGCTACCTCTCTAGTTCCTTCTTTTTACTGGCCAGGGCCATATTGAAGAGGAATTTCTTATTAATTAAGACACGCTNGACCTAATGAATGAGAGAGCTGACCTAATGAATGAGAGAGCTGACCTAATGAATGAGAGAGCTGACCTAATGAATGAGAGAGCTGACCTAGACATGGCCCGTTGTTGCTCTCGCGCACACCGCGCCTGAAGACGTCGTAGAGCGTGCGGGTGTCGTCGTAGAGGTAGCGCATAAACTTGCCCTCCCGCGCCTCCTTCGTCAGCCGCGACACGCGGATCAACTCAGCACCCTGCAACCAAGAAGGAAATACAACTTATAAATGAAATAATGCTCATCTCTTATCTAAATATTGTAAAACTACAAATTATGGTACAAAGAACGCAAGAACTACTTAGACACCACCTGCCAACGTATGATAAGAACTTCTTACTTATAGGACTGGAATGGGTCATAGACTTTTTGAACCGCAGGTACATAATCTTCGGTTTGTTTTGTGTCAATTTGTGATTCCGAAAAAATGCGCATTTTGACACAAACTACCGAGGCCAGCACGAATTTTAATATCTATGGCACTGTATATTAAACATTTCGTACTCCATTATCGTGCTGCGGGATAGTAAAATTTGTTAAGTTATGGGTAGATATGAGTAAAAGTCGGGCTAATATAAAAAGTTTTAGAACTTTTTTGATAGGAATATAGGCGTTGATTTTTGATGATGTGTGTAAAATGTTTAATCATTTTCTTAACACTATTAATATAAGCGAGAAATTTCAAAAAATAAAGTTTTCAATGTTGGTAATGGACATTTACAGTAGCAAGGCCTGTCATTTAGATTTGACAGAATGCTTATACTCGCGATAAAAGAAAGAAAAAATTAAAAATAGAGTAAATGGTAGCACTAGAAAAAGTGCATTAAATTTATAAAGTTACGTTAAAAAATATACCAAAAGATTTGTATTTTATTCATACATTAAGGAAAAATAACTTTTGGGAACTTTCCTGCGAGGGCAAACGTCCTCGCCAACAATCGCGGTACGTCGGAAGACAAATTGAATGTCAAGGTCGTCATTACGACGCTACATATTTAGGTTAGATTAGCAACACAAATCGACCTTGACATTTATATAACTTTCCTAATGAATAATTGACTACAGCTATTAGCGGAATAAACAACAGTTAACCCTGTAGGTTTGAATTCGATTTGTCACAGAATTAACTTTGTACCTGCATAACAAAAAATCTCAAAAGGATTCATGTTTAATTCAACAATTTGAAAGGCAACCTCAATGAAATGTTAGCTCCTACAGAAGAAAATTTATTTACACGGAATCAAAAAATCACTGTAAAAAATTTTCGTTTTTTTCGTTATTTGCGGTCAGAAACATCTTTGAGAAGCCCTAGAAGACACATCTACACAACCGGTTACTGCTTGTTTCCACACGAAGATGAGCACTCAAGACAAACAAGATAAAAAGAGTTTTTTGCGCTATTCTGTGGGGCACAACACAGAATTCTGTGGAGCGCAACATTTTATTCCGAAAATTGCGACATTACGTCGCGTAATTTTGTTAAGAAAGAAGTAACTTCGTACCCCGGGATATCGTTTATAACCTCGATTACTTATCGTGCCGGGATATTACTTGCGAATTTTATTTTCAATGGTGGAATCTCGTGACAAAGAAAAAATGGAGTGGAGAGCTATAGTTTAAATAATTAAAAAAATATAACTCAGTACTCACTGCAGTGAGCGACAGAGAGCGCATTTTCTCGTCGACGAAAACTTGAAGTCACGGACGGACGGACAGACAGACAGACAGACGGACATGGCGAGCACAATAGTGCATTTTTTCCATAAATGAGAAAATGCGCTAAAAATATTAGCGTATCGAGCTAACCGACGATACCGGATAGAAGAACTTGATATATTCTGTTCGAGAATATCCAGTTGTTTTTATTCGTTTCCATGCTTTTCTTTGTTTCGCTTAGGTCAAACTTTCATGAGATTATGGCTCTGATACTAAAAGGGTAGACCAGAGATGCCCGGAATAGGCTATAGGCCTACCGGCAATTGAAGAATCCTGCTATTAAAAATCCCTTTAACATTGAAACTTAGGTATTTTAATTATAGACCAAACTAATTCAATATCTCCTAGAAGGTAATACCATTATTAATACACCATTCTGTCATTTTTTTCATTCTGTCTGATTGGGATTGTCGATCCAGGGCAACGCCGGGTTCATTTGCAAGTTTTTAAATAATAATTTACGATTGCCGAAGCAGGTATCACTCTCTTTTTTTATTAAGACTCAAACACCCAATCTTTTTCTATACCTCATGATTCCCACTAAAATAACAATTTTATTCACAATCTAAATGCAAAAATGGTATCGTCGAAGACTTTATATACATTTCCATTTTAAAATGAACATCCATGTTATATATAGTTGCTATCAGAGTTATTTTTTCAGCGCCCGCATTTGTGATAGGTACATACTGTATGCGTATTGACCGCATTTGTAAGGAATTTCCCTACATTCTAGGTTAAATTTCTGTACCACACACGTTCTACAAGCGTTTCTCTAACATTTTCCATTATTTTCAATGCGTTTCTTTGGACTTTTTCTACACAACCCCTTATTTCTTAAACATTTTCACACATTTATGCCCATAGAAGGCATTGCAGAGCGGGAGTTGATTATTGATTAGATTGTTTCAAATAAGAGACATTTTCAATTTGATGAGAAGTGATGTGCAATAAAATTTGAAAATTTCCAGCTGATTTAAATATAAAAAAAACATGGGCATCAATTGGAGCTGATATTCGCAAGAATGTTTGAAACGAATTTTCTTCGATTGAATCGCCTAAAAAGCTTCAGGATTGCAGAGAAAAAATTCATTATCCTTTTTGTAGATACAATTTACACAACATGAGAAGAGTTCTGAATACTCGTATTCAGAGTATACTCTGAATAATCAGTAATTTCTTTTGTAATTGCAAAGGAAATAACTGAGTTTTAAAATTCAAGATTTCGATTGGCAAAACTGAAAGAAATATGTTCGACAAATAACAGCTTCAATATTTAATAACATTGTCTCGCATGTGGCAATCCATTATTATTATTACCAATATTAATCTCCATGAACAACCCCTCCCCAGTATAGCCGTGTTTTGCTGCTAGTACTTCATCCTTGAAACAAGTTATGAACAATATTTTCCCTTCTAAGTAATATCTGCGGTCACATCACATAAGAACCACTTAGAGCCACATACGTTGGGCCTACGGCTTTAGCTACACGCATTTCACTACAAGTTTCGTAGGAAAAGGTATTTGGTCTGTGACCGACGATACAGATTCATAAGATAAAATATTTCTACTTCAGAGGTGTGCTCAGTACCTGGGATCATAAGTTAACATAAGTTTCATTAGTTGAATAATATTATGTTCAATAACTCTCATGCGCTGACTTTTGACATGTATCCTCAGTTTTAACTATCCGAATTGTCCAGACGAATGTTCATGATTGTGGATTGAACATCCAATTATGATGAAAGTTTCCGATTGAAAACATCCTGAGTGCGTCAAGCGTGCGTTCAATCAACAATTCTTCAATGGTGACTGAAATCAGCCAAGCCCGGCATGTTAATTTAGTGAGTATAACCCATAAAGATGACAAAATTCCCCACACAACATCAACATCTACAACAACTGCGACGCAGAGAAATTCACGGAATTCGGGATTCTAGAAAAATTACAAAGCATTACGACATTGAGCGGGATTTCGCACGTAAAGTGTAATGTGCGGCTTAACAACAATATACGACGAAATCAAACGCCAAAATTCATCAGCTGAAGTACCGTAGACACTCTTTCGGCTACGCAAACAGACGCGGTTGCACCGTGTGCTCATTAAAGCTAGGTACATTTTTACGAACTTTCTAACATGATCGAGTGAAGACTTCAATGAAGTCGGGTCATTTCAGAACGATGGAAGAGATTTAAATTCAAACATGCATTTGAATCTAAAACAATACAAGACACTTAACAGAATGATGAAATATATTTAAATGCCTATCATTATTGATCTTCGGGGGTTCAAGCAGGAGTGCAACATTTTTTTAGACGACTTCTTGTCTTGCTATGTGTTCGAAATAAATAATTTGTACATCAAAGTGGAGGAAATTGATTTCAAAAGCCACAATTTTGCAATGCTCGCTACATGCCATAAAGAGACGAAAACTCGTGTAATCAAAAACTTTAGCAATGAAATGATCGTAAATTCTTCAGGAGGCTAGAATCACCAAATTAACTCGTTGATATAAGCAATATAGCAGTAATGACGCGTTATCTTTGATGAATAGAGTCTTGACAATATTTCATTATGCGCTTGTGCAAGCGGCAGAATTTCGTTCACAAAATCAGACCTTTTAAACATAGGAAATTTGTAGAAACCTGGATTCCGAGTGAAGGAATCCTGAAGTTAGTTAATTTAGAGAGAATAATAATTTATTGAAAACTTTAAAACGTCGCCTATGGATCTGCTTCAACCGAAAATCCATTATACTTCCAGATATTTAAAATTCCAGTAAATTCTTTGTTAATTCAGTAAATCATAGACCAGAGAATGTCAATGTTGACTCGACCGACAACATTACTGATCAGGGGCCTTACTTTCAAAACTCGCTAAGTGAACGTAAGTACTTACGCTCTATTTTCTTGACTATCTTCTTGTGGATATTGCTTGAAAGGCCGTCAACGATTGGCTGATGAACTTACGATCTCTTAACTTTTTTTGAAAGTATAGGCCATGATCTTGCCACTTCCCTACACATACTCGTGGCAGGCCAGCTCTTTGTGCGTGTCCTATGTGTTGTGTTCCAAGTCAGCTTCTATGTTTAGAAAATAAGCCGGGGACTGGTGCTAGATATCAACAAAACCAATGAATGTGAAATAAAACAAAATGTAAAATAACATCAACAGTCAATAGAAGTTTATGAAGAATGAAATAGAAGTATGTAAGCTAAATAGGGAGCAAATGACAATGGAACGAGAAAACAACATATGTGACCTAAGTATGGTACTTGCCCAGGGTATTTGCCAAAATGAGCTGAGAAAAAGAATGAGTTCAGGGAAGTACTTTGTATGACTAAAAAAAAGAACTCTAAATCAGAGAGCAAACAAGCTGACAGCTCGTCGCCCCACATGACAGCAAACCCGATAGATGGCCGGTCTGAGGCCACCTCCGCTGCATGGCCGGTCTGTCTGTCTTCTGCTTACTAGAGCAGCTCAGTCAGGTGACTTATACACATCTAGATGTGTATAAGAGACAGGGGCCATATTGAAGAGGAATTTCTTATTAATTAAGACACGCTACCTCTCAAGTTCCTTCTTTTTGCTGGCCAGGGCCATATTGAAGAGGAATTTCTTGAACGATGACCCATTAATCTGGCCCATGACGCGGTCATAAACCCTGTTGAGGAGCCGTGGCACAGAGGGCGTGATGGTAGGACGCAGCGCCTTATAGTCGTCCGCGAGGTTCTTGATGTCCCCGCCGTAGAAACCCACGGCGCCGCCTGCGATGTACACAGCCACCTCGCAGCACCGCTCCAGCATGTGCGCCAGCGGCAGAAACGACAGGATCACGTCTGACTGCCATATTACATTCCTTCTTTACTTTACTAACAACATTTTACTTAACTTTAACTACCAACATTTCTTGACTTAACTACCAACATTTCTCGCAGCAGCGCTCCAGCATGTGCGCCAGAGGCAGGAACGACAGGATCACGTCTGACTGCCATATTACAACACTTCTTTACTTTACTAACAACATTCTACTTATTTTACTCAACCACCAAAATTTCTGATTCAATAACCGTATTGAAGATTGGCTGTATAAAAATATTAGAGTACGTAATTATATTATATAATAATGCATTATTGCATTACTTTATGTTTTGCATTATGTTATGTATGTTGATGTATTACGTATTAATGTTATGCATTATTATGCATAATGCACAATGATGCATAATATAATTCTATAATATAAAAATATAAAATAGAGCTCATGTAATTATGAGCACGAAAATTACTGTGACACATTTAGGAAGAGAGCTTTCCCTCTTGCTTCCATGTATGGAAATAAAAATGAAAATTTCGCTTGAAAAAAATTGACATCAGAATAGAAGGGAGAGTTTTCAGTCGTCAATGAGATAGTTACTGCAAAATGTGTATGCTCAGTAAGCGCACTAAATAACTTGTTCCTCGAGTCAATATACGGCATGAAAATTCTCTGGGCTTCTATATACCTTTGCTAAAGGCCGTTCTTCCGGTGCGATTAATATATATCAGCAGTTCGATTTCTGAACTGTTAATTTGATATATTAATAAAAACCATTAAAAAGGCAGGAACATAAGATGAAGGCAATATAGGGATTGTATTGTTCAGCAGCCTTCGTTGTTTGCGCCACGAAAAGCTTCGTAGCCTCCGGATTGGATGAAGCGAATAAGACCGACACACAAAGATATCCGTCCTCCAAAATTAATGTTGAGTAAATTTTACGTCGCACAGAGAGACACCGCAGTAGTGCAGGAACAGATAAAGTCTTAATGAACACATTTGGGAAATGGTATCGTAATTCTAATGGGAAGAGGGATGTTGTTGTAATTGCCCATCCTGATACTGGCGACTAGGTAAGGGAGGGAGTGATAGGTCAGTTTTTGCGGGCACTTAATGCCACTGGTAATGTTAATAAGTCTTAAAGAAAGTCTTAATGAACACATTTAGTAAAGGGTACCGTAATTCTAATAGAAAGCAGGATGTTACCTTGTGTGGCTTGTGCTCAGCCAGCTGTAGGAGCGTAGCGCAGACAGCGGCCACGATGTTCTCGTGTGACAACATCACACCCTTGGGCATGCCTGTCGTGCCAGACGTGAAGTTGATGCAGCTCAAGTCTTCTGGTTTAGGTGGCTGTAATATGAGTAATGCAAATATTAGCTTGGATCTGAAATAATCTCCGAAATGAAATGTTTTGTATGGAACAGATCCATCACAACCAATCGAAAGGAAGATCATCTATGGAGAAAAATCACATCAATGATGGATCAGTTTACTTTGTACATGCAGTAATGTGTTATTTTCCAGATTTTTGAGGCACCTCCGGAATGATATGAAAATAAATTTATTGAAATAAGTCAGCTAAATTAAGAAGGAATGCGACTCACCCTATCCTTAATTTTACTGGCGGCTCCTAAGGCTTCAATTTCATCGAATAGTTTTATTGTAATGCCAAGCTTTTGAGCTTTGAGACGAACGTCGTTGCTGGGTTCATTGATTGCGATGAAGACCTTGAGGGTCTTGGGTGGCGACTGCAGAAGCTGCAACATCTTCTTGTCGTCCTGCACGATGACGGTCGACAGCGCCGTGGTACTGAGGATGAAGTGACAAGCGTCGGGACCGAGCGTGTCATAGAGCGGTACAACCACCATACTCTGACAGTACAGCCCTTGCTCTGTTAATATCCACTCTGGGCAGTTCTGGGAATAAATACCCACGTATGTCTTAGGGCCAGGCTCGAGGCCAGATGCCACGAGGCCTGCGCCGAAGTTTCGTGCGCGTAGCAGCGTTTCGTTGTAGTGTAGCCACTGATATGGACGACCGGGGCCATCGCGCCAGCCTGCAAACAAGAGTCTGTCGTCTTACGAGCACTCAGGCTGCAAACAAGAGCCGGTCGTCTTACGAGCACTCAGGCTGCAAACAAGAGTCGGTCGTCTTACGAGCACTCAGGCTGCAAACAAGAGTCGGTCGTCTTACGAGCACTCAGGCTGCAAACAAGAGTCGGTCGTCTTACGAGCACTCAGGCTGCAAACAAGAGTCGGTCGTCTTACGAGCACTCAGGCTGCAAACAAGAGTCGGTCGTCTTACGAGCACTCAGGCTGCAAACAAGAGTCTGTCGTCTTACGAGCACTCAGGCACAGCAGCAACTTTTATATACTTTTCCTCAAGTTAATTTTTGAGTCCTTTAAGGAGAGTAGTAGACCATGAAAGTATTTTGGATACCAGCATAATCATACATAAGAAATTAATTAGAATTTTGAGTAGATGAGGACATTAATAATGCACTAATTCTAAAAAATAGTTGTTTTGTCACAAAGCATACGAGCACTCAGACAGAGCAGCAATGAGACATCGATGTGGCGTGGGCAGCTCGTGGTAGCAATTACACATCGACTATGAAAGAACTTGAGAGAAATGAGCGATAACAGTGAAAGTTGCTTTGGGTTATGTTTGAACTAAATTTGTATCGTTTTGATCTCGAAATTTAATGGAAAGAGTCTTACCAGACATTGAAATGAACGATTATGACAAATTGTGAATGAGATTCAAATGAATTAAATTTGAACAGTAATTCGAATTCAGAAAAATGTTGAACGATAATTACCGCAACGTACATCCTCCCATTTTTTTAACGATATTATGTTATATGAGTTTATTCTCCAAATTTGAGTCCTGTTAATTTCTAGCTTAAAAGTTTGTTTGTAATCTTCTATATGAGGACTAAGAATAAAAACTTAGAAACATTAATTAATATTCTAGCACTATTGTGGTCCAATTGGTTGTGCTATCGTAATGACAGGACAGTCGTGCACGGGACATATGAATGAGAGAGCTGACCTAATGAATGAGAGAGCTGACCTTATGAATGAGAGAGCTGACCTAGACACTAGTCACTTGCTGGTATCCTGTCATTCAAAGACCGCCGTGCACGGGACATATGAATGAGAGAGCTGACCTAATGAATGAGAGAGCTGACCTTATGAATGAGAGAGCTGACCTTGACCAATTTTTGCTCCATCGAAACTTGACTTTATTGTATTTATGTCAATACGAAAAATGTTGTACTTAACACTAATAAGAAATATGAAAAGGCTACAGCACTGTATGAAAGCTAGTGTTAAATAATTTATTTATTACTTATAACATTATTTCGACCGAAATTTTTGATTGAATGATGATGTCCGCCAAGAAAGAAAACGACTGATGGTTTATGACAGTCACTGGTAATCAACATTGCCAGGCGTCCTCATACGCTATTGTCTCTCAATGCAATAGGTAATAAAAAATATAATTCAATACCCACTGCATTGAGTGCATGAGAGAGAGCGCATTTTCTCGTCGACGAAAGCGTGAAGTCACGGACAGACGGACAGACAAACGGATGGACAGACAGACAGATGGACGGACAAACGGACAGACAGACGGACGGACAGACGGACATGGCGAGCACAATAGCGCCTTTTTTCCATAAATGAGAAAATGCGCTAAAAAAACTTCCCCCAAGACGTGCTAGGAGGTACAGATCCTATTACTGGCCTGTTGTGAATACATAATTCTTTTTAAATTCTACGGCTATCCGGGAACGTTGTGCTCTTAATACAAATTATTAAGCTATAACCTTAGAATGTTCCTTTCGTTGCTTCTTGAAGCATAGCAGAAGCGAATTCCTCTAAATGAACGACGAAGTCCGTGTGCTGAGATCACGCAGTCTATGCTTGGAAAATACGTTAAGTGCCAGTATCAAGCATATACGTTAGCACATCAAACTTTTTTTTTCAAAACGACGAAAAAAGGTGACACAGAGTCCTGTATCTCCATTATAAAAAACAACCAATGATTTCTGTACGTTCGAATTCATGTTGTGATTATTCTTGGATTATGTTTACTAACATGTTTTAACAATTATTGACTTAATTTAAACAAGAAACAATGAAAAAATTAGACTTATTTTCGAAAGGTTCAGCTGAAGTGGAAAAATATAACATTAACTAACGTGACCTAATTTTGCACAATGCCAAGAAAAATTCGACGGTTGCAAATGAAAAAATATTGCTCGGAGAATTATCTCGTAGTACATCATATATTAACGGGTCATATGATGAACCAATGAATCTAACTTCAGAGAAAGCCAAAAAAACTCCCTAGCTAGCATTGAACAATGACGACCCACACGTGCAATGCGCAAGAATCAATCCGTCGCTTCCGTGCCTACAAAAGTTTCCTTCTTGAAGGGCTGCGCGAACAAAGAGTTAATTTACACAAAAATCAATCCGTTAATTTACACAAGAATCAATCCGTTAATTTACACAATAATCAATCCGTTAATTTACACAAGAATCAATCCGTCGCTTCCGTGCCTACAAAAGTTTCCTTCTTGAAGGGCTGCCCGAACAAAGAGTTAATTTACGAGCCTGTCTGTCGCCCCCCTTGCATGGCCTGCGGAGGTGTTGCTCTCGCTTATAAATATCAGCGAGTCAGCGACAGTATAATGTCAAGACGGCGATAAAGAACACAAGTGAGCTTCAGGTGTTTGTAATGATAATACAATCCGTTTCGTAGTTGAGCTTCTGCCATGGCAATCACTTGGATAAAAATGAAATTTTGAAGTTAGGAAGCACATTCTTATAGCTTCAGAAAAATCCATTCACAACAAGAAGATGCGAAATAAATTGTTTTATTCGAAAACCTATGCAAAGAAAACGTTTTTTTTACTCATTACAAGTTTATGCAGCGTTGGTAAACTTTCTAAGTTGCGAAAAATCTCAATTCAATAACGAAGTTCATCTACGAAGAGAATGTAGCTTCATTCTTAGCATTCTAATTGAAGTTCTAATGAGAGTATGAGAAAGTAAGGTCTCTCGTTTACCGGTCACTCTACTCATCAACTTTACCAAGACGCAAGGTCTCGGTGACGCCTGCCTGCTGATGACTGAAGACAGAAATGAAAATTTATGAACTAAGTGAATAATTTTCGAACTCGATTTACAAATTGTGCTCCGCCTGACAAGTGTTTCGTTCGTATGAGTTGCGAAGAGTGTGATGGCGAGCACAGTAGCCTCACTGCCTGCAATACGCATAGACAAAGGTTAAGCGACCGAAAAGCATTTAAGTCATTAGATAAATTATGCAAGCATCGATTGAAATTTATTCCGGGTTTAGTGTTAGAGTTTCATTCAAAATTCGAGGTAAATTTTACCATGTATTTAGAACAAGGAAATTCGATCCGAAGTAAGATAAAACCTGTTCAGGTAGATGAAGACTTACATTTCTTTGCCGAGGCATTTGTAACAAAGCATTAAGAAATTTGTTTGGGTGTCTTCAGCATCCGCGAGGTCCAGTTGTTCAAAGATTTATTTTTGCACAGCGTTGCCAAACCTCGTTCTTTCATTAGATATACGCTAATAATATGCCTAGATAATTTGGAGAGAGCGATTTCTGTGATCTTAGGGCGAATTTGGTTGAGTGAGCAGCACTCGTCGCCAATAATAGCAATCGTTTATCAGGGCTCTGTGGCGTCAACGCCGAGTGCCGCCGTCCATCTCAAGCGAAGCGCTACATTCTTAGACGAACTCGTTAAAGGCAAAGCAATTAAGTGCTACAATTAGAATACCTACACTCAGCAGCCCAACACCGAGTATCTGTTCACGAACAACCAGCCACACGTCGTTAACCTTCGACCTTCGTATGTCACACTCCGGGAACATACAATTATACGTAAACTATTGAGTGTAGCAACCTGAACACGGTTGTACGCAACAGAGAACATTTTAAAGTTGTATGTGGCGGCAACCATCAGTGAAAGTCATTTTGCGCTTACTAGTAACGTATCCTTTTCGGGAAGTAGGCTTGTGACAATATTGCTCCGGTTACTCATGTCAGGCGGTAGAGGGTTAATATTTAGTACTAGAACGGGCTCGACAGTGCATCTTCCTAAAGTATTTTGCTCAATTGATATTAATTACAACTTGAACATTCATATTCACCTAATGCTGTTCCATTTTATGCGAGTTTGAATTTCATAAGGCCGTGGAGGATTACATAGCTGAAAAATTACTGAAAACCTGTATAACTTTTGAAAGTATTTCAATAAAACAACCACCACATCAGCTTTCCAGGCGAATTCGTGATGGTGAATGGTCCGGGCGTATCTAGAAACAAGGATTCCCGGAAAAAACGAAAGTTCATATGACGCGCGAAGCTTAATTGTTATAATGTAACGATCACAGTCAGATGCAACAAATAATTTGTAGCATCAACGAATAATTCACAATTATCGACGATCACAGTCAGATGCAACAAATAATTTGTACCATCAACGAATAATTCACAATTATCGAAGCTCTGCTCGAGCCTCGCAAAGCACACGAAGAAGGTGAGCGTGAGCACCTGTGTGAGTCAGCGCCACACGCCCGACAAGTCCGGTCAAATCTAGCGACGTGAACGCGCCCCTTGCACCTTAGAAAAAATTACCGTTAACGGTATTACCGGCGTTTCAGTGGCCGGTAGGCACGTAAAAATTCTATTCTATAGAATTTTCTATAGGCCGTTTTTATTCTAATTTAACAGTAGAAATCCGTAAAACATCTGATAAAAACAGCGAAACAGTTCATTTTCAAGGGGCGACCAGCCACTAGTATGTCAGTGGGACCGTTTTTTCACCGTTTTTTCTAACTATGTGTCTATACCCTGGCGTTCAAATACGTGAACGCGCCTCATGTCTATACCCTGGCGTTCAAATACGTGAACGCACTTCATGTCTATACCCTGGCGTTCAAATACGTGAACGCGCCTCATGTCTATACCCTGGCGTTCAAATAAACTCAAGTGCCGCACTGACAG